TTCTTCTATAACACGGTTGGAATCATCGTTTGCTGGAATATTTTCGTCAGTTGAATTGTCTACAGAACTATTATTTGTGACGATAATAGTTGGATTGTCTGAAGAGTCGGGACTATTTTGTACGACATTTTGCACGTTTCTCCTGTTGTCTACATTGTCTAAATACAATTTTCTGAGCGCACTATTATTCAATTGAATAGAAATGTTTATGCCCAATTCCTTTAACGCATCCTTTAATTGCGAACTTGTCCAATTAGCGGGATTAGAATTGTCAATATGGCTTCTGGTCCTTACACGTCTGGAGGCCATGATAAATTCCAATATTTATAAAAGTTTCTTTCTAAACTTGACTAGCACATACTTGTATGTTAAAATAGACTGCAATCACGATATATATACGTAAAATCCAAATTTAAGTTGAATAAATAAGTGAAATGTACACAGTTGATGAAATTCTAGATATAAATTTTCAAACGAGAACTATGCTCTGCACATGAAAGGAACAAAGAGGTTATTGAAATCTGAGACGTCTTGTACATTGTACCAAAGTGAGGCTGGAATGACCACGCGGATGAAATTCCTTAAGAGGGGCACCAGGGGGAAAAAACAACTATAAACTATAATTATATACATAATTGCCATTTGTAATGATAAAGCACATCAAATGAAATACAGGGTTAGTCCCCAGGGGTCACCCCCAACCCATGCCATTTAAAAAAGTTCTAATATCTTGTAAGTGGTCAAGATCCCCACCCCTAAACCATATATATTCTGGTTTGTCATGCTAAGATGGTTTGAATGATATACAGGGTTAGTCCCCAGGGGTCATCACGACCCCCTGCCATTTGAGAAAGTTCTAATATCTTGTAAATGGTCGAGATCCCCACCCTTAAACCATATATATTCTGGTTTGTCATGATAAAGCACATCAAATGAAATACAGGGTTAGTCCCCAGGGGTCACCCAGACCCCATGCCATTTAAAAAAGTTCTAATATCTTGTAAGTGGTCAAGATCCCCACCCCTAAACCATATATATTCTGGTTTGTCATGCTAAGATGGTTTGAATGATATACAGGGTTAGTCTCCAGGGGTCATCCCGACCCCCTGCCATTTGAGAAAGTTCTAATATATTGTGAATGGTCAAGATCCCCACCCCTAAACCATATATATTCTGGTTTGTCATGCCAAGATGATTTGAATGATATACAGGGTTAGTCCCCAGGCATCACTAATGCATATAACTTTACTGGACCAAACCAATTTTCACTGGACTTTGCCCAATGTCAGGCGACCCTGGGAATTACGAATTATGGGAGCTTCGTTTGGGAGACTTCGTAACAGCATCCTGTTACAATCATTTCTTGTTTTCATAAGAATTTCTCACTTTATATCATATGAGTAATATCTATATACATAGAATAACTATTATTGGTTTATTGGATGCTTTGCAAGATCTATATGTCTGTCAGTCAGAGTTCATCTGACCTTGACCTCATTTTATGGATCAGCAATCAAGGTTAATTTTTCCTGATTAAGTTTGTTTCTAAGATACTTAAGGCAATAGGTCAAGTATATTTGGTGTATGGAATGACTGTTTGGTGTATATGTATGTCTCATTCTTCACCCTTGGGCATACAAGCTGAGGTTTTTAAAATTTCTGTCAGGCATGTTAGAATTTCTACTACAGGCCAATAGAATCTATACAAAATTATCAAAAAAATATTGTCTGTGGCTGCAAGAGTTCATTATGACAACTGCCGTCTGGCAGGGTTCATCTGACCTTGGCCTTATTTTCAAAGTTCATTGGTCAATATTAAGTTTTCATGTTTAGGTCTGTTTCTCGGAAACTATAAGCAATATGTAAACTTTCTTTAGTGTATGGAATGATAATGTGAGGTCAAACAGGCTGGGTTCATCTGATCTTGGCCTTGTTTACACATGGTCCCTTCTAGAGCACCTGAGCTTACCCCCCAGTTTTAGGTGGTGTTGCTCTGTATTTAGTTTTCTATGTTGTGTTTTGTATACTGTTGTATGTCTTTCAGACGTTATGCCATGGCATTGATAGTTTGTTTTGGGATTATGAGTTTGATAATCCCTTTGGTATCTTTTGCCTCTCTTTTACATGGATCATTGATAATGTAAAGTTTATTTAATAAAACCTTTATCTTTAAGACTAAATTCAATCATGATCAGTTAAGCAGGTGAGACATTTAAGCATGTGTACTCTTGTCTAAATAGGTCTATTTCAGAATAAATACCTATAATATTTCTTTGTAATTGGTAAACTGTAACATTATCATAAGATGTGTTTCTAAAATTTATGCAGGATATAAGGCCCTGCTGCTGCTTCAATTTTACTCAAGGTACCTTGAAATTTAAGACATTGCTCTACAAGATTGGGCTGTACCAGTTTTTTAAAGTTTAAATGTGATTTTTCTGTACCTACAATGTATTTAACAGTAAGTTTCTTATATCAATTGAAGAATTTGTATCTTATAATAAAAGTTTATGAACTGGCTGTTTCTGTATTGGCCCTTTTATTGATTCTTGATCAGCTGTTTTCGAGTCTTGGGGCTAATACAGCTAACCTTGAATCTATAACAGGGCCAATACAGAAACAGGCAGTATGGACTGGTAGACACCTTAGTTATCAAGAGCACCCCTCCAGAGCTGTGAGGGTACAGTGGTCATGGTGAACACCCCTCCAGAGCTGTGAGGGTACAGTGGTCATGGTGTACACTCCCTATCAATCATGTTAATGGAGATGTGTCACTTACTTATGTACAACCCACTACCAAGGAAACAATCCCCAACCCAACACCAAGGGAGTGTTACAGTTAGAACACCAGGAAGTCTGTTATTAAATATATAGGAAAAATGTGCTGAAGTTGAATGAAGATACAGTAAATTTCAGTGAGACCCTAACAGGCATATCCAGGTGTTGAGATATTCCATGTCTATCGAAGGGAGGTTTTGAATTTATTTTCCTTCAAGGTGGGACTTAAAAATAAGAGAAACTCCAATGTTTCCCTCCAGGTCTCCCCAATAAGATAAAATGACCAGACTCTCAGATTATAGGTATACTAATCAATAATCATAAGACCTTGCTTGATCTTTTTGTCTTGCATGGGTCGAAAGTCGCAGAATGCAGGATATAGGGATTACAATCCAGCAGCAGCGACAGCATGAACTATTTGTATAAAGCTTTGTATTTCAGAGGGAAGAAGACCTGGATGCTTCATACCATGTATGTAAATGCCTTATGTTATGAAGTTTCCGTATTTCAATTGTCATTCACCTCATTTCCATGGTTCAGGGACCGCTTGAAAATGTTTTTGAGTGGTTTTGTCATGTGAAATACTTCCTTATTATGAGTTATAGGGCAACGGTATATTTGATATATGGATGATTGCAAGGTCTACATATACGTCAGACATATTCACCTGACCTCGACCTCATTTCATGGATCAGTGATCAATGTTAAGCTTTCGTGGTCAAGTCCGTATCTCAGATACTATAAGCAACTGGTCAACTATATTTAGTGTATGGAATGATTGAAAGGTGTACATGTTTGACTGGCAGGTTTCATTTGAACTTGACCTCATTTTTTTTGGTTCATTGGTCAAAGTTTTCAATGCTAACTTTATTTCAGTGTATTTGGTGTATGGTATATATGAAATTTAATCATTATAAGTAAAGCAGGCGAGACATTTCAGCATGTGTACTATTATCATTTAAGTAACATTTTATGAAGTTTATTTTTTTTGTGAGTATGATATATACAAAGTTGCCTTTACAAAGAGTTTTGATAATATGACCCCATCACCATATTGAAAATATTTATTAGTGGCTACATGTAGCTTAACTTTACTTGCACTTTTTTCTCTCGAAAAATATTGAGATATTAGATCTGTAAACATGATAAACAAGCAGCGTTAATTAAATTTATTACTTCACTGTTATATTATTTTCTTTAATGTTTTGCCATATAGAAGTTTGGGAAACCTATTTGAATTATGTTGTATCTTTGCATGCACAATTGGGTATCTTACATTGATTATTTAAGTGCATATTTTAGAGAACTATTTTTGTTTCCAATCCACTGTAGAGGTCTATTTCTATGCATGCACATAGTCTTGGTGTGTTTTCAGTCTTGTAAAAGCAGACTGTATCTAGAAAATACATTATTGCCTCTCATTGGGGAATATTTTGAGGTTTTGTTTCTTTCATGTGATTTATTAAATCATATAACTAATTTGTTAACTTTATAAATTCTTTTGAACTTCAGTATTTGTTTTGAATAAAGGATATTGGGCATTGTGAAGATTATTACCAAAATTAACAGTACAACCTACTGATATACTGAATGTGTTCATTCAACATACCTATATACAAATAATGCATCTGTCATGGTTATCTGCAGTGAAAAGTCACATCAACTGTTACATCTCTAAGCTGTCACAGTCAGTCAATTTGAATGTCCCTTTGGTATCTTTCACCTCTCTTTTAGACAATTATTGAATCAAATCTTGTTGTTTATACAGTATTTTCACTGCTTCCAATTTCTACGTTTGTGAAATGCTCTCCAATTTATATAGCCAATACTTAGTTTTTACATCAAAAAGGATATACTACCAAATTCATGAACTCATCTTGCGGCATTCTTGCCCAGCATAATCATTAATTATCAACTTTTATCAATATTTTGATTTGGAAGGTGCTGATTTTTTTCATTTGTTCAAATTGACTCATTGATGAATTCTTGACTAAGGACATACATGCAGCCAATTGTGGTTAAACGGACTGTATAAAAGGAGAAAATGCAATGTCATTATGCTTAAATGTATTTTTTTACAGGAAATCCCAAAGTAATTTTTGCAGTGTTGTCACTGTATGGCTGTTATTTGTGACAATAATCTATGAACTATTGCATGTATTGGTAGATTTGACAAACTAGATAGAACCAGCTTATTTAAATATTAGATTACTTTTCTTCAGCAATGTTTTAGTCCATCAATGCAAAAGCCAGTGGTGAATAGTACGTTTACACCTAGCCCAAGTCCAAGTCCAACAAGGAAAAATTTTATCAGGTATGTTATAAATGCATTAAGAAATTAAGAAAAGAAAATTTAGATACATGTACTATAAGAAGCTGAGTACTCCATTAGAAGCATGTAAATCATTGTGAGTAAATAAATGTCAAACTTTGACAAATAACCAGTGACAATTGATTTGTTGAATTTCTGTTACATATTTATGTCACATCATGATGTTACTACCCTATTTATTAAAGATTCAACCACTGCATCAAGGGAGATAAAATATTTCTCCACTTAAGACATTAATTTTCACGTTTTAAAAACAAGGCATGTCAAGAAATACCATATCACATCAAATACAGTGTGTTTGGGTATACGGTTTGTTGACAATATACAATATTTAAAATAAACAAATTTTAACATTCTTTTTCACCTTTTCAACTTGAAAGAATTGTATAACAATCAGTAGAAATAGTTTGTTATTAAATGGAGTTTTCTTGGTCATATAATTGTGGACATTATTCTGAAAGAATTCTTGAAAAAAGTGTTCATATGATGCCGAACAGACATCCAATAATGGCTGTAAAATGTATATTTAGTTCTTGTTGTACAAACTCAAAGCTTTTGGTGTGTAATACAAGCATTTTCAACTGTTTCCACTATTTCCATCACACAGCGTGTACAAGCATTCCACGTCATTTTCATTATGCACAATCACACTCATTCTCATATGTTTTATGGATTTTATGTTGATCATAATGGTCATGAATGGTTTCTTCTACAAAGTTTAACATTTTTCATTTTGTTATATTGTTATGTGTTTTGAAGAGTTGGCAATGTAGACTAGTAACTTCTTATGAAGAGGAGAGATACTATTATACCTGTTATAATGTTTGGGAATAGGAGTTTATCGTAAATTAAAGAAAGTGGACAGAATAGATTGCTTCATTTTTCACTTTTGTAACTTGCTTATATTTACATATATAAAATAAGAGAGGTGTAATGTAAACTATTTAACAGAGTTCAAACAAAGCAGATTTGATCAACTCAATCACTTTACTGCCCTCAACAAGAGAAAAACTCATATCGTATAGTCTGCTTTGAAAGTCCCCAACATGCAAAAATGTGAAACAACGAAAAAAAACAATGGCCTGATTTTTGAAAACAATAAACAAATTAATCATGAATTTAACTTTCATTTCTTCCAGAAGTTTGAGTCCTATAGCTGTTAGACCAAGTCCACTTGGAAAAAGACGATGTAAGTTATACCACCTCTCTTGGTCTTGTATCTCAGTTATCAAACATTAAGTCAGTTAGAAGACAGGAATCATACATTTATTTTAGACCTAAAATTGAAGTAGCCCTTAAGTTCACATTTCCAAAAAATAATCTCAAAAGGGCAGGCGATCATCTTGCTGGCGTAATGATGAAGTCAAGTCGCTATCAAAATCAGCATAAGGGAGACAACTTGTGATTTACAGGTCACACAGGTAAACAAAATGGCGACTGACAAGGAAAATCAAGACACTCTAAACAACGAAGGACTAATACTTTTGATGATTAAATGAAATAGATACAACAGTGATTTTGAAAATCCTAGGATTTAACATCAAAAATTATTTAAACGAGAAACCAAGCGACTGTTTGAGTTATCATTTTACGATGATTTTCATCATTAGGATGTTGTGTAATCACTCAGCTAATTTGTTTTAATTTTATTTATTAGGAACCGGCCCGTTGTACTACGCAGTAGGTTAAGGGGAAGGAATTAACTGGTGATTTTTTATTATTCATTGAATTAAAATTTAAAAAGTAAAACAGAACTGAAGGATAATTTGATTGCATAGAACGAAGTGTAGTCAGCTTGTGCTGAGCAGCTTGTTTGGTTTCCACGACCAACTCGTTATTATCAGATATATTTTCTAAAAAAATAATAAGAATTTGCTCTTTATCGGTTAATTAATATGTGATTGACAGATGTCTTCCTTTATAGGCCTACAATCATTCACAAGAATCTCAAATTACAAATGGTTTACAAAATTATGACAAGTGGCTAATATGAATTAAATTGCCCATTCATTCTCAAGCAGTTCTTGATTAAAAAAAAAACAAGTCATCAGATTCAAACTGGGTTTTTTTTTTTTACTTTTTAAAATAAATTGAGGTAGAGCACATGGAACTAATACATGATATGCTAGCAACACATTTTATTTAAACTTAAATTCAAATTGACTGTACAAATGATATGACTAAATAGAAAAAAAACAATCTTTTAAAGACAATTTTATTAAGAGTTTTCAATATATACAGCATTACATAAAAAAAACTGCAGGTATATTTTTTATTGCATATATAAAACAATTTCCTTAATGTATATGTCATAGATATTGATAAGCATGAAAACACGACACAACCAAAACAGTAATGGAATTTCACTTCTCCAAGAAATTGACCACTTCTCCTTACTCTCTCATGGAATGAGAAGTCACTTCGCTCTCTCCAATATCCTAGATAAGGCCAGGCACAAGGTAGAACTACCATGTAATGAAAAAGTTCAAATTTATACTTTTTTGTAGTACTAAAGTGACATGCAAAATAGCCATACTTAAAAAAATATTTTAGATAAAAACACTGCAATTTTGATGGGAGAGATTTCTTGCTAGGAAATTTTTAGATTTCTTTGTATAATCATCTCTGTTTTTATTGTATATTTAACTTTTTGTTTATAGTGGATCATGATTCCTCGGATGGGTATATAAGTCCAGCAAAGAAGTTTCATATAGGACCAATCACACCAGATAAAGTTATGCATGTCCATCCTTTAGCCCACAGTCATCACAGGTAAGTCCATGTTAGACCTATCACACAAGGTAAAGTAATTCATGTCTATCCTTTAGCCCACAGTCATCACAGGTAAGTCTATGTTAGACCTAGCACACCAGATAAAGTAATGCATGTCCATCCTTTAGCCCACAGTCATCATAGGTAAGTCCATGTAAGACCTATCACACCAGATAAAGTAATGCATGTCCAAAGCCCACAGTCATCACAGGTAAGTCCATGTTAGACCTATCACATCAGATAAAGTAATGCATGTCCATCCTATAGCACACAGTCATCACAGGTAAGTCCATGTTAGACCTATCACAAAAGATAAAGTAATGCATGTCTATCCTTTAGCCCACAGTCATCACAGGTAAGTCCATGTTAGACCTATCACACCAGATAAAGTAATGCATGTCCATCCTTTAGCCCACAGTCATCACAGGTAAGTCCATGTTAGACCTATCACACATGATAAAGTAATGCACGTCTATCCTTTAGCCCACAGTCATCACAAGTAAGTCCATGCTAGACCTATCACACCAGATAAAGTAATGCATGTCCATCCTTTAGCACACAGTCATCACAGGTAAGTCCATGTTAGACCTATCACAAAAGATAAAGTAATGCATGTCTATCCTTTAGCCCACAGTCATCATAGGTAAGTCCATGTTAGACCTATCACACCAGATAAAGTAATGCATGTCCAAAGCCCACAGGCATCACAGGTAAGTCCATGTTAGACCTATCACACATGATAAAGTAATGCACGTCTATCCTTTAGCCCACAGTCATCACAAGTAAGTCCATGTTAGACCTATCACACCAGATAAAGTAATGCATGTCCATCCTTTAGCCCACAGTCATCACAAGTAAGTCCATGTTAGACCTATCACACCAGATAAAGTAATGCATGTCCATCCTTTAGCCCACAGTCATCACAAGTAAGTCCATGTTAGACCTATCACACCAGATAAAGTAATGCATGTCCAAAGCCCACAGTCATCACAAGTAAGTCCATGTTAGACCTATCACACCAGATAAAGTAATGTATGTCCATCCTTTAGCCCACAGTCCTCACAGGTAAGTCCATGTTAGACCTATCACACATGATAAAGTAATGCATGTCCAAAGCCCACAGTCATCACAGGTAAGTCCATGTTAGACCTATCACACATGATAAAGTAATGCACGTCTATCCTTTAGCCCACAGTCATCACAAGTAAGTCCATGTTAGACCTATCACACCAGATAAAGTAATGCATGTCCATCCTTTAGCCCACAGTCATCACAGGTAAGTCCATGTTAGACCTATCACACCAGATAAAGTAATGCATGTCCATCCTTTAGCCCACAGTCATCACAGGTAAGTCCATGTTAGACCTATCACACAAGATAAAGTAATGCATGTCCATCCTTTAGCCCACAGTCATCACAGGTAAGTCCATGTTAGACCTAGCACACCAGATAAAGTAATGCATGTCCATCCTTTAGCCCACAGTCATCACAAGTAAGTCCATGTTAGACCTATCACACATGATAAAGTAATGCATGTCCAAAGCCCACAGTCATCACAGGTAAGTCCATGTTAGACCTATCACACCAGATAAAGTAATGCATGTCAATCCTTTAGCCCACAGTCATCACAAGTAAGTCCATGTTAGACCTATCACACCAGATAAATTAATGCATGTCCAAAGCCCACAGTCATCACAGGTAAGTCCATGTTAGACCTATCACACAAGGTAAAGTAATTCATGTCTATCCTTTAGCCCACAGTCATCACAGGTAAGTCCATGTTAGACCTATCACACCAGATAAAGTAATGCATGTCCAAAGCCCACAGTCATCACAGGTAAGTCCATGTTAGACCTATCACACATGATAAAGTAATGCACGTCTATCCTTTAGCCCACAGTCATCACAAGTAAGTCCATGTTAGACCTATCACACCAGATAAAGTAATGCATGTCCATCCTTTAGCCCACAGTCATCACAGGTAAGTCCATGTTAGACCTAGCACACCAGATAAAGTAATGCATGTCCATCCTTTAGCCCACAGTCATCACAGGTAAGTCCATGTTAGACCTATCACACCAGATAAAGTAATGCATGTCCAAAGCCCACAGGCATCACAGGTAAGTCCATGTTAGACCTATCACACCAGATAAAGTAATGCATGTCCATCCTTTAGCCCACAGTCATCACAGGTAAGTCCATGTTAGACCTATCACACCAGATAAAGTAATGCATGTCCAAAGCCCACAGGCATCACAGGTAAGTCCATGTTAGACCTATCACAAAAGATAAAGTAATGCATGTCCATCCTTTAGCCCACAGTCATCACAAGTAAGTCCATGTTAGACCTATCACACCAGATAAAGTAATGCATGTCCAAAGCCCACAGTCATCACAAGTAAGTCCATGTTAGACCTATCACACATGATAAAGTAATGCACGTCTATCCTTTAGCCCACAGTCATCACAAGTAAGTCCATGTTAGACCAATCACACCAGATAAAGTAATGCATGTCCATCCTTTAGCCCACAGTCATCATAGGTAAGTCCATGTTAGACCTATCACACCAGATAAAGTAATGCATGTCCAAAGCCCACAGTCATCACAGGTAAGTCCATGTTAGACCTATCACACCAGATAAAGTAATGCATGTCTATCCTTTAGTACACAGTCATCATAGGTAAGTCCATGTTAGACCTTTCACACAAGATAAGGTATTAAACCACAGACTTTAAAATGATATGTGCTGCATCTCTGCAAAGTAAGCAGCATTTAAAGAGTAAAAACAAAGATAAGTTTGGCTTGGAGAAAAAATTATATGACAAGAAAGAGTGAAATATTGTGTTGGACCTTCTACATAGTAAACTGACATGACTGTGCTTGTCAGATTTTTACATGTAAATAAGAGATTAAGGACATCAAACAAAACAGATATTTCTGATTCCAATATATATCATTTGTCACAGAGTTCCATATTACATTTCATATGATATTATGAATCGCACACCATATTCCATGGACAAGTTTTCTTATTTTTCAGTGTATCATCGAGTAGTCTAGAAGATGGTAGCCCAGAACAGACTGTGCCAAAGGGAAACAATTCACATGATATCCGGTTACGATATCAGCATCAGCCAAACATGTATACTTTTATGCCACTTGGGCAGGACTCGCGTGATTCACGTGACTCACAAGACATGCAGACAACAGATTCAGAGACATCAGATATAACAGACATTTCTGATCCCAATATATCATTGTCAGCCAGTCCAGGCACATCTGGATTTCAACCAATCAAACACACCCAAGTATGACAACAAGTGTCCTTACTTAATGTTACTATGGACACAAAACTAACCTGTAAATATTGTTAAAAATCTAAATGTGCAGATGAAATCATTAGAAATATTTTACATCTTTATAAGATGATATATAATTTTTATTTAAAGTTCAAATGAAATGCATTATATGTAATTTCCAGTTACATTTTACAACATAGATTGAAAGAGAAAAAAGATACTGTTATAAATATGCAAATTTGTATATATCTTATCTCCTATACACATCTAGGAATATCATTGGTTAAAAGCAAACATGCGGAGACTGTGTATATATTTAATATTTGGTCAGTAGGCATGTTTTATTTTAATACACGGTTAGTAGTGGTGTTACGTCCCTTTATAAAAACAACTTGGGGTTGAAGAAAAATCTGAAACTTGTCGCCCAGAAAACAAAAGAAGAAATTGATGACAAACGATTGAAAATAAATACAGGTAACACATTAAAAGCTAACAAATTGTTATTCTTGGCATTTTTTTTTGTATAGACCAATGGAAGTAGATTCTTGATATAAAAGACTTGATCACATTAATAGGCCACTAGTCTAAATTCCACATATGAATCTAGTCGATAAGATAAATTTGTTACACAGTGTGCTAGTAACCTAATATGATATGTAAGGGGTCAGTAAACTCTATATGAAATTTACTAATCCCATATATATCGTATAAGGTCATTAGCAAACTGTGTAACTAATAATATTATAACAAAAGTTTTTAAACTGTAAAAAAAAAACATAACTTAATAATCACTGAATTTTTGGAGCAATACAAAATTATAAAAAAACATGTGCTTGTCTTTTTCCTCATACTAAATATCCATATATGCACATGTTTGTTAAAATGTAACTCAGCTTTAAAATTATGCCATATAAAAAATCTTTTGGGCTAATTAGCATCAAATTGCATTATAATAATTTGATATTATTATTTATGTTAAAAAAGTGCTAGTCAAAACATTCACTTGTTTCATTTTCACTCAGTAGTAGACCAAAATAACTTAAATATGATTTTATTATGTTTTTGATTGTTAATGTATTACTACTTTCTGTTTTTACCTGACCAAAGGCGCAGAGTAAGACATTATATTTACTTGATATGACCTGTCTTTGAATAACCCTAAAGAAAACATCTTCTTTCTATAACAAAACAAAATCTGTAATACCACTGAAATGTTAATTTATGACAATATGTAACACTTCTCACTAAGTATGACCAAAATTTTAATCATACTATGCTTTCCACTGTTATTAAGAGAAAAATGACAAATTTCTGAGAAATCCTGTTAAGGTTCCAGATACTGCAGAATGATACTTTTGTGATGCTTTAGAAACAATGGTTCACACCCTCAGCAAACAATAACTTGGTTAGAAACAATGGTTCACACCCTCAGCAGATGATAACTTGGTTAGAAACAGTGATTCACACCCTCAGCAGAGAATAACTTGGTTAGAAACAGTGGTTCACACCCTCAGCAGACAATAACTTGGTTAGAAATAATGGTTCACACCCTCAGCAGACAATAATTTGGTTAGAAACAATGGTTCACACCCTCAGCAGACAATAGCCTCGTTAGAAACAGTGATTCACACCCTCAGCAGACAATAACTTGGTTAGAAACAATGGTTCACACCCTCAGCAGACAATAACTTGGTTAGAAACAATGGTTCACACCCTCAGCAGACAATAATTTTGTAAGAAACAGTGGTTCACACCCCCAGCAGACAATAACTTGGTTAGAAACAATGGTTCACACCCTCAGCAGACAATAACTTGATTAGAAACCATGGTTCACACCCTCAGCAGACAATAACTTGGTTAGAAACAATGGTTCACACCCTCAGCAGACAATAACTGGGTATTAACGTAATGCAAATATTTTACAACATACTCAATGTCTTTTTAAAGATTCATACTATTTTATGAATAATTTGAGAGAGTTTTCCTTTTTTTTGGCAAAAGACTTCAATTTTGACATTACAGTAGTACTGCAAAAATTTGAATTTTTGTTATAATAAATCCATGGTGAAACATTTATACAAACTTGAAATGTAAAACTGTGAAATGCTTACAATGTATTATAAAACAAATCATTGTTTTAGTTTTCTCTAAGAGTAGAAAATTACCAATAACTTAACATTGTGCTGTGTACTGTAAAACTTGATAAACAAATTATCATGAAGGTATGGAGATTAGCATTCATAAAGTATTTTTAGTTACTGAATGCAATTCATATTTTTTTTTTATTAGTGAAGCATTTTGTTAATTAATTTTATCATTAAGTTATATCTCATTCATCCATTGGAAGGTATTATATGTAAAAATGTATGTTTGCTAAAGATTTCACAAAAAATCAAACCATTATTGACTAAGTTTGATATCTGTAAACATACGAAAGAAATATATTGTTTTTGAGAAATACATATAGTTTAAATGGAACTGATTGATACACAAATAATATGGTAAGTGGGTGAAATCAGTAGGAGTTAAAAGTGTGACATTTGTATATACCAAAAACATGTAACATTTTTGTATATTTTCGCACACAGTTTTGTGATCATTTTGTAAATATACATTCTGTGATCTTGTAGATACTCACATTAATTTGTTGATATAGTTTAAAGATGCATATGCAGAAAAGTGCTATTTTACTTTTGTTATTGTTTTGGTAATGTATCCAATTGTATATGTATCAGTTAGTTCATTAAGTGTGCAAGGTGCTATGTTCATTGGTGTTCTTTTTCATCCTGCGATATTGTAAAAATAGGACAAATAAATGTCTTTATTTGTCCCTTTGTCAGTCTTTCTTTCTGCCAGTAGCACACTTCTTATCTGAAAAAAACTTCCCTCAAAATTTTCATGCTGATAGGATGTTTTTCTCATCATATGCTCTTAACTACACTATTTCCAATTTTGATTTAACAATTTTCGTGAAGTGGTGGGAATTTGACATTTTTTTACCAATTGCAACATGACACTTTGTGAATGTACTCTATGACCATTTGCCTTAAGGATTCAAACACTTAGTTAGATGGTTTTTGCCTTTATGAAGCGAGACATAGGGATAGTGAAGCCTCGTCGGCGGCATTGTTAACTTATTACTTAAAAGCTTAATATTTCAGTTTCCGTCTGTCATATGTCCATTGTTCTTGACCTCATTTTCATAGTTCAGTGACTACTTCAAAAAAAAGTCAACATTTTTTGTAATGTTAATTTCTCTTGTTATGAGTGAAAGGATAACTATATTTAGTATATGTGCGTACCTTGCAAGGTCATCATGCCTGTCAGACAGTTTAGTTTTCTCTTGACCTCCACCACATTTTCATGAATGAGTGAACAATGTTAAGTTTTTGTGGTCAAGTCCATATCTCTGATACTATAAGCAATAGGTCTACTATATTTGGTGTACGTAATGGTATTAAGTTGTACATGTCCAAATGGCAGGTGTCATATGACCTTGACCTAATTTTCATGGTTCATTGGACAATGTTTAGTTTTTGTGGTTTGGGCTATTTCTCAGATATTATAAGCAATAGGTCCATTATATTTGGTGAATGGAACAATTGTAGGGTGTACATTTCTGTCTGGCAGGGTTCATATGAACTTGACCTCATTATCATAGTTCATTGGTCAATGATAAGTTTTTGTTATTTTGTCAGTTTATCAAATGCAATAGGTCAACTATATTTGGTGTATGTAATGATTGTTAGGTGTACATGTCTGTCTGACAGGGTATATATGAACTTGACCTCATTTCCATCAGGTGTAATAGTAATAAATTATATGTGTTTATGGCATGATAGTGAGAGGTGTAACATTAATAAATCATATGTGTTTATGGCATGATAGTGTGAGGTGTAATAGTAATAAGTCATATGTGTTTATGGCATGATCGCATGAGGTGTAATAGTAATAAATCATATGTGTTTATGGCATGATCGCATGAGGTGTAATAGTAATAAATCATTTGTGTTTATGGCATGATAGTGTGAGGTGTAATAGTAATAAATCATATGTGTTTATGGCATGATAGTGAGAGTTGTAATAGTAATAAATCATATTTGTTTATGGCAGATAGCCTGAGCTGTAATAATAATAAATCATATGTGTTTATGGCATGATAGTGTGAGTTGTAATAGTAATAAATCATATTTGTTTATGGCATGATAGCGTGAGGTGTAATAGTAATAAATCATATGTGTTTTTGGCATGATAGAGTGAGGCACCTGTTATTTTTTTGTTTTGCACCTTATATTTTATTTCTTTTTTTTAAGGGTTAAATTTCGGATGACATGGTCTTTATCATATATGCACACTATAGCACACTTTTGTATCCGCTTCTCCTAAACTAATCATAACCTAATATATTTTCCCAGAATCTTAACTATATAATATCATCATGCACCTATTTTGTTTTTTATCCAAATTCTTTTTGGGGTTTCCCTTACCAAAGCATAATTAGTTATCAAAGGTACCAGGATTATAATTTAATACGCCAGATGCGCGTTTCGTCTACATAAGACTCATCAGTGACGCTCAGATCAAAATAGTTATAAAGCCAAACAAGTACAAAGTTGAAAAGCATAAGCTTTGCCATTTGCTTTATTTTGGGGGTACCTATTTTTTACCTGCAACTCTCTCTAAACCCCTTATTATAATTTACAGTCTTTACTACATAATCCCATTTGGTATCTGCAACTTCTCCTAATCCACTTATTACAATTTAATGCAACTTTCTCACTATCTTAAGTTCTTAACCAAATAATGCCATTGCATTACTTTTAAAACTTTTTTTGGTCCTAATTATTTTTTTAGGTTTCCCTTAGCATGGACTTTGCAAGGGGTGGGGTATCATTTTGTGTCTTTTGCTCTCAGCACCTCTGGTTTAAATATATGGAGAAAGGATACAAATAACATACACTTAAGTATTTTAAACCTTTGTACATCTCATAGAGTTTATGAACCATCCTGGTATATTGAAGTAAAAATAACTCCCTAACAGTGTGTACCTATATACAGATCTTAATTGATGAGTAAATCATATATGTAATAACTGTACAAAACTAAAGGTGCTAGGTTTCATGGCAGCTCAGCTCAAGGTCACACCTTACATGTATTTGTATAATTTCAAATCGATAAAATACACTACATATGCAGACATTTGAATACACTACATATGTAATTGTTTAAATACACTACATATGCAGTTGATACAATACAATATATATGTAGCTGATAAAATACAATATATATGAAGTCGATAAAATACAAGATATATATAGTCGATAAAATACACTACATACATGACATATGAAGACGTTTAAATACACAACATATGTAGTAGATAAAATACTATTTTATTGTGTGTATTGCTGTGTTTGTTTATTCCACATTGGCTAGAGGTGTAGGGGGAGGGTTGAGATCTAATGAAACATGTTTAACCCTGCCACATTTTTGTGCCTGTCCCAAGTCAGGAACCTCTGGCCTTTGTTAGTCATGTATGTTTTTTTAATTTGGTTCATTTATATATAAGTTTTGGAGTTTAGTATGACTTCCATTTTCACTGAACTAGTATACATTATGGTTTAGGGGCCAGCTGAAGCCCACCTCCGGGTGCATGATTTTCTTGCTGTGTTGAAGACCCATTGGTGGCCTTGGGCTGTTTTCTGCCCTTTGGTCGGGTTGTTGTCTCTTTGATGTATTCCCTGTTTCCATTCTCAATTTTGATATATGTAGTCAATAAAATACAGTATAAATGAAGTCTATAAAACACATTATCGCTATTTTACGAAATTTTCCTTTGATCTTACGGACTGATAATTTCCTTTCTCAGCACAGTGGAGTGATATGAAAAATTATCGCTAGAAACTAAGGGCGCACGTGCTGTTGTCAAAGAAATTAACAACGTCGTCATAGGTAAAATAGCGATAAACAGATTATCATTGGTCATCTCAACTCGATTGCTTTTCTCACTTTCGTTGAGATGACCAACGATAATCTATAAATGTATATATGCAGCCTATAAAGTACACTACATATGAAGTCCATAAAATACTCCATATATGAAGTTGAATAGAAATAAATCAGTTGATTGTTCAGTTTATACATAGCCTTATTATGATCTCCCAATTTGATTCATTATAGATAATTAAGAGAGAAAAAAAACATCATAATTTGTGTCTGCCAAAATTTAATTACAGTATCTTGTAAGTGTATCGGTATACTCAATTATATGGTGTAAGTGTTTGTTATACATCAGTTATATGGTGTAAGTGTTTGGTATACATCAATTATATGGTTTAAGTGTTTGGTATACATCAATTATATGGTGTAAGTGTTTGGTATACATCAATCATATGGGATAGGTTGTTATAAAGTTTTCCATTTCCTTCTTTGTAGTTTTCGGTTTTACTTATTTTTTGTCTTTTATAGTTTGAATTCATTCATGTTCATATTAATATATTCATTGGAATTCTGTTTTCAGTGGATATATTTTTGCATATATAATGAAGTTTAAAATGCAAATCAACCTTACATTTAAAAAAACTTCAAAAGAATTTGTAGGAAGCAGAAATTTTCTTTTTGATTGATAGTTTTTGGAAATATCCATACATTAAGAAAAAGTTTTGGGTCATGAGATATTTTACTGGTTTCATTTCTGTGTAACAGTAATACACACTATATGTATTGCTTTGTGTGTTATAATAATATACACTTTATGTATTGCTTTAGAATAAAGTGTGATACAGATATTAAATTTTGTAGACAGTTGTTATAAACAGGGTAGGTTACTTCATCCTTGTATATATTGTAACATATGTAAATTTTATGTAATTATCATGTAAATAGATCTCATAAATGTGCATATGTAGATATTGTAAATGGTCAGTAATTCAGTCAGCGCTTACACATGCGTACTTTAATTACTACTACTAAGTTAGATTGTAAATATGGAAATAGTTCAATTTTACTGATAGTAAAGGGAAAAATTATCATTTATTAAATAATGATAACTATTTCACTGAAAAATTCCTCCTGCCCACACATCAGTCAACACTGACTGGTAGTCTGTACATGATCTTTGATAGTTTTAGATAGCACACATGTGTTTAGTTTAGTTATGTAATACTTTAATAGATTTATTAGATACAACTAATCAGGATGGGTATCATTATACAGTTATAATTCACTATGATTTTTTTCATGAAACTTGTACACAAAGTTAATTTTGATATGTATTATCAAATTTATGAAGAAAAATGAGCAAGACTTTTCTATATCATTTTGGATTGTTTGAGCAGAAATTTAGGATTTTTTGCAATTTTAAAGAAAAATTATTGTTTTTAGTTTCATCTTTAAAAACTGTCAGCAATAAATGTTACTAATAAGGCAGCTTCTGTTCATTTCAAAGGCTTGTTAATTATCTGTATCATTGGTTGATAAGTTTGAATATATGCTGTTTTTCTTTTACAGTAAACTATATGAATAAGTTTTCATCCCTCATTATGCTTATTTTTGGTATTTTCCTGTCTCTTGCATCAGCTAACAGTTGGGTTTTGGGCTAAACAGTGGTCTGCAGGTGTAGTCTCTAAATGTTATTGTGACATGTTGAGTCCCAATTTTTTTGCTTAAATTCTTTAGCTGTTAAACATCTGTAACCAGTTAGCAGACATATTGTAAAAAAAAAAAGCTCACTGTAACTTAAGATACGTAAAGAGACTGTTTCAAGTACCCAGTAGCAATTACTTGAATATTCACTTATCTCAATGGAGTACAGTGTTGTACAGTCAGAAAGGTCAAACGTGATTCACCATTTGAAATTTCCGCTATATATTTCATATAAAAAAAACAATTTAAAAAAAAAATTCTACTTCTTTTCAGAATTGAATGATTTTTTTTCGATTAAATTCAGAAATGTCAGCAGTTTCTTGCAATACTCATGAAATTTGTTTATGATGTATACTTTTAAGAAAATCACTGTTTAAAGGAAAATATGAATGTCTGCTAAAAATGAATTATGGTTATAGAGGAAAAAATAACACTTAATTTCTATATTTGTATATAAATAATGATTTCTCAGTAATGACATATCATTAAAATATTTCATGATAATCATAGAAAACTGTATGTATTGATGAATTTAACAGTAAAAATTTCATTAAAATCAGACCTGAAATAAATAGAGAAGATGTTACTAAGTTGTAAAACTGGTGCCTGATCCATTTGTCATTTTGAACAATAAAATATGTTTAAACTATAATAAATAAAAACAATATTGGTTGACATTTCTGTTTAATGTCCTTCATTTGTAATTTATATCATTTAATATTTTTTCTGGTTTCAAATGTAATTATTTATTAGAAATAGTATATCTAGTATGTAAAAGTGTAAATGTATATATATTTTTGATTGTTGAAATTTAACTTACTGCATTAAAATGTGAAAAAAATATTACATAGATAATGTAATAAATATTAGCAATTTGATTTTTATTATTTCTTCAAAATTCTAAACAAGTAACGAACCTAATGAAATAAGACTTGAATGGTACCAATCTACAATTCATATACTTGATAGTGCTGTTAACTGGTACCCTGTAAATCTTTCACATGTACATTGTCATGTAATTGCATTGTTAAGTAAATGAATAATTGGGGACTAGTTAAAGGCAATATCTGGTATCCAGAAGACACACAGTGGCTAAGGCACTCACAGATAGATAACAATTCATGTTAAGAGATTTCAGTCTATTTGGTAAGTATCTACATTGTTAAGGTAGATGCTTACTTTCAGTTACCTGCAGAGAAGGTATACTTACTGTGTTCTGTACAGGTTGAGTTTGACCTACCCTGTTCTGTATAGGTAGAGGCTGATTTTCAGTAGTCTGCAGAGCAGGTTGTCTTACTGTATTCTGTACAGGTAAAATTTGACCTATACTGATCTGTATAGGTAAATGCTTACTTTCAGTAACCTGCAGAGAAGGAAGACTTACAGTGTTCTGTACAGGTAGAGTTTGACCTACACTGATCTGTATAGGTTAATGCTTACTTTCAGTAACCCGCAGAGATGGTAGACACAGTTTTCTGTACAAGTAGAATTTGACCTACCCTGATCTGTATAGGTAGAGGCTGACTTTCAGTAACCTGCAGAGAGGGTAGACTTTCTGTTTTCTGTACAGGTAGAGTTTGACCTACCCTGAATTATATAGCTAGAGGCTGACGTTCAGTAACCTGCAGAGAGGTTAGACTTACTGTTTTCTGTACAGGTAGAGTTTGACCTACCCTGATCTGTATAGCTAGAGGTCGACGTTCAGTAACCTGCAGAGAAGGTAGACTTAGTGTTTTTGGAAAGATTGGAACTTGTTCCAATTCTTTCCTAAGGCACCGGCCTTCCAAACAGAAAGTAGACAGATTTGCTACTAATTCAGTAACTAAATCTATATACACTGACGTATAGTTCCCAATTGTTCTCATGTCTGTGTACATATTCAATTATACCAGAATATGCATAAAAATGCCTAGTAGATGATTCTAGATCTGGAACAAAAGACGAGTAATAGTGCACATTACCACGATCTATTTAAAACATAGGGTTTCTGTAAAAAATATTCTGAACTGAACATCTTAATTATCCGGGAAGACCGGCATGAAGTCTTCGCTATTTACGTAAAACAAACTCGTTCATTGTTTTCGATTTAGAACTAAAGTGCAATTGATCTCTCTTGTATATGTATATTCTGCTTGAGAAGAGGGAGGGGGAAAGGTATTAGGAGGAAGAGTAAGGGAAAAGGCAGTATGAGGAGGATGAAGGGAAAAAGGTATGAGGAGGGGAAAGGCACAATTATGATGAGGAAAATGATGAGTAGGAGGCGAAGGAGTGAAAAAGGTATGAGGAGAAGTAGTAAAATCAAAGATACACAGATTTCTTTATCAAAATCCAGACCATCATGTCTTGCACGAACTTTCACGAGTTTTTCGAGAAAAGACAATATGCCAAGACACTGGAGAATGACTAATTTCGACAAGGCCTTGCTTATGATCGGAGAAGCACCAACCCCAGAGAAAGACGTGTTTCGTTTCCAACATCACCATGAGCGTGTCTGGACCAACCTCCAGTGGAAAAAAACTATTCTATTCAAGTAGGAAGATTGCGCAGTCTTCGACCAGAATACAAGAGATGAAAATTACTCTACGGGGAAATACAGAAAACAGTGACACCGCGAGTTGAATTGGTCCGCGGTATCCCTATCCATCTTGAAACTGACAATTTTATTACGATCCCACAATGAGAAACATGATCGTAAAGAAAGACCTGATGTCGACCACTTCAAAATATTCCAGAATCAATGACTTGTTTACGGAAGGAAGTCCTCGTAGAAATTGATCTGTAGTGGTATTAAATCAAAACTTGTATTTTGGTAAAGTCATTATACAGAAACGAAACACTCACCACCTCGTACTCTTTTACGATCCCATGGACGGGCAACCAATCATGACTCTCAGATGTACCCGTCTCAACTAGACTTTTTTGTACGAAAGTTGGAGAAGGCTGCAAAGAAAACGTTCGGCATTCTCTTGATTGATCTGGAAGCGAGAACGCCAGAATCGTTGAGATTACGCTAATTTCTTGCAAACAGGCAGAGGACTTGATACCCCTATCAAAGTTACAGATCGGGACGGAGATATGAAAGAGTACGGCATATCGGAAGACGCATCAGACACATCGGAAGAAGACACGTCACGGGGAGATAGCTCTGACCAAATCTTGAAGCTTGCAGACTTGTACCCCTTGGGGTTAAGAGAATTGCTTACAAAAAGGTTGCGGGTTAAACAAATTGATCGAGCTCCCCATGTCTGGAAAGGCACTTGCAGACGCATGGAGCGGGTTTTCGTCACTGTTGGATATGCAGACGATTTACCTAGATGTATGATGGACAAAATCAAAGCGTTCGGGTTCAACACGAACCACTGTGACAAAAGGGAAATCACTGGATTTTCTTTTAATTTCCGGCTTCAGTCAGTCCGAATTTTTTTATTCCATAGGACAACCGCCAGAAGTGTATCCACGACGTTTTAGAAACGTACTAATCGTTAACGTACCGCAATACTGCTTTTCTCAATGTAAATAAACTCATCATAGATATCAGGATTGAAATTTTGTATTTGCGCCAGACGCGCGTTTCGTCTACAAAAGACTCATCAGTGACGCTCGAATCAAAAAAGGTTAAAAAGGCCAAATAAAGTACGAAATTGAAGTAATATAACTTGAAAAGACACAATGTTGACTTCTGTACCCCAATTTTTTTTTACATTTTTACCTTTTATGACTGTTTGTTTTCCATTCGTTTGATATGTTTCAGCTTTTGATTTTGCCATTTGTAAGGGACTTTTCGTTTTGATTTTTCCTTCGAGTTCGATATTTTTGCTATTTTACTTTTTGATGATTTGGAAACGTCTGGAATATTACGCGGTTACTATGTAAAATAGGTTTGACGGGGATTCAAGATGGTGGATATTGTGAACGACTTTTCAAAGGAGAGGCGTCAGATTTCAAATCGATATTCAAACTCATTAGTCGAAAATAAACTGACTATGCCATGAAAAAACACGAAAAACGATTACAAAAAACCCATAAAACAACAGTACACAAAAACGAAATAGAAAAGTAAAGACTGAGCAACACGAACCCAACCAAAAAAACCAGGGGTGATATATTGTGCTCCGGAAGGATACTGCTCCACATGTGGTACCCGTCGTGTTGCTCATGTAAGTACAAACCCGGTGATAAGTCTTATTCAGTAGGTCACATTCGAGGAAAAGAGGACGGGATTACGGCTACGACAATTTGAACTTATACGCGTCATCTGTGAAACAGATATTCAATAACGTTGAACTAACTCGTGCTGGCGTCCTTAAACAGTTAAAAGGGATGACTTCAACTTTACCACTTGGAACTCTTGGTTTAATAGCTAAAGCTTGTAAGCAGCAACCTTCTATCAAAGAAATCATGATAGGAAATTCAAGTTCTAGAATATCGTATCACCGAGGAGATATAAACTCCATATACAGGCGCTGCTGGAATGTTGCTACATAGAAATGGAAAGTTCATACTAGTAAGAAGAAAACTGAAATCATCTCCTTTGTCTTAAAGTTTTGTTCTCAACCGAACTTAATTGTCAATTTCTAGATGTAAGTCAGGATACGAGGCAGACGTAACTGTTTCGTTGTATCCTTTATTTCAAGTTGGATGGGATAGATGCGTTCAACATAGTCACCAAACTTTCAATCATTTAGTGAGAGTACACAAATAAAGGCAACTGTAGTATACTGCTGTTCGAAATTCACAAATCTATTGAGAAAAAAACAAATCCGGGTTACAAACTAAAACTGAGGGAAACACATCAAATATAAGAGAAGAACTACGACACAACAGAAACACAACATTAAAATGTAACACACACAGAAACTAACTATAATATAACAATGGCCAGTTTCCTGACTTGGTACAGGACATTTTAAGAAAAAAATGGTGGGTTGAACCTGGTTTTGTGGCTAGCCAAAACTCCCGCTTTTATGGCAATGTTAAATATAACATTAAAATGACAACATTACATGACATAACTACAATACAAACAAATGGGAGAACATATAGGACAGAGAAACATACGAATAATAGCTTACAAAAGGTACCAGGTTTATTCACCATCTTTATAGCGGGGCATGAAGTTGATAGATAATGCTAGCTTCTTTTCATTCTTTTTCAGAAGCTCCTTTATGAAGAGTCTCTATAATGATTAAATGATCAAGTCGACAGTTGGTTTCGTGGGAATGCCGATTGTTTGATGAAAAACGTAACAAATATGTTGTCAATCAAGAAATAACACATCTTGATATATCATGTAATGTAATACAAACGATAGAAAACTCATTGTGAATTTTCATTGATAGCAGAAAGAAAAAGTAGGTTTACGAATAGAAAAAGACATACAGAAAAGTTTGAAACCAACTACACGAACATGTAACAGGTCTCAAGTCCTTTTTCGGATCGTAGATATAGAAATGAAGAAATGATTTTACAATTTTACAAGACTGATTCGCGTAAAGTGTGTCGATCGATATACAGAGGGTATATTATTATCGTCATTTGAAAAATTGTGCGTGCAATTAAGATGCTATAAACAGACACATGAACGAAGAATTTGATTGTTTGATTTTGTTTATTTAACACCAAATGGCAGCTGTAACAATAATTGATGCAACCTATATCTGACATTTGCTATAGTTAATCTCAACACTTGTTATGGTCGGTCATGGATTTAATGAAGTTTAATCATATTTCTTTGTTTTAATTTTCTGCATAATTACATGTTTGGACATGATTTGACTCTGGTGATTATTTAATTCAGAGGTCGATATTAACACAATAAATGTATAACCTTATCCAAAATATATGGGTAAACTAAACAAACATTATTTAATTTTCGTAT